ATGTTCATACCTTCATTCTGTCTCAACTATCCCACTGCAATGGGTTTGACATTAAAAAAAAAAGGCTGAAAAGAACAAATCATCATGGTAATACATGTAAAATTTTTGAAGTCAAATGTTTTTTCATTGGACTATAATAAAAATCATGGCAGCCAACATTAGTTGATCGCAAACATTGCACCTGGCACTCTTCAAAATGTTTCCGATGTATTAACTCATCCATTCCTCACCTCAGTCTTTTGAGGAGATACTCCTCTTATTATCAACCCATTTTGTGAAAAAGAACAACTGAGTCCCAGAGACATTGAAGAACATATCCAAGGCCTCACAACTGGTAAGTGGCAGAACCTGGCTTTAAACCCATGTGCCCTGGCCAGTAGACCTGTGCTTTTAACCACTGTGCTGTTCTGCAGCAGTTCTCTCTTCCAGCCTCTCCCCACTGCTCATCTCCGGGCCTAGGAAGCAGCACTCACAGGCAGTCTGGGTCTCCCCCACGGAGCTCATTCACTCTGGGGAAGGGGAGGGGGCAACCCTACTGCACTGATCACATTTCCCCTCTTTCATACTTCATGGGTCAACACTCTAATTTGCTTTCCGCTTTCTAGGTCCTTATTGACATATCCATCTGTTGTTATCATTACTGTTACTCTTTCTTCTGTTCTTTTCATTTTGTTTTTCATCCCTTACCATTATCAGATGGAGAAAATATCAACTCACATGTTCAGCATGCCTTCTTGAACTCTAAGGCTACTTTTACTCTAGCCCTGGAAAGTGTGATTTGCATTAGGGTTCATCAGGTGTGCCTTATGATCTGTCCCCAGCCTACTTTCCCAACCAGGGCTCCTAATTTTATGCTCCGTATGTTCTAACTTATTTTTTTGTGTGTATGCCTCATGTTTTCCTGACTTGGTGTCTCATCTCTGACCATTTGAGTCTTCCCTGAAACCCAGCAGTGAACATGATCGCTCTCCCCCGTCTCAATTCCTGGAATACTTGTGGTACTTCACTAGTGCTGTGCATCATGGTTTCTCTTTTAGTGTAATCATTCCTATTCATAATCTCATTTCTGTGTTGCACAGAAGCTTCTTCTTAGTAGTTGGCAGGTCCTTTTGTAGTGGAAGAAACTTGGGCTTGAAATCAAGGACAGTTGTATTCAAATAATAATTCCAAGACAAAGGAAGATTTAAATTTACAAATTCTCAAGAGCCACAGAAAAAGAAAAAGTACTTGGTAGGGTTCAGTAACTACTGATGATGAAAAAAAAAATCTTGTAACAGCTAGAAAAGAGCTTTCTTAAACAATGGTGGTTATAGACTAAAACCTTATAGGAAATGAAACATCATTCTTAATGGAGACATGTAAGTTCAGACATAGTCCCTGTGAGAAAAGGAGCAAGAAGAATGCCAACCATCACTGGCATTAGATGCTGTATTACTGAACATAGTGGCTAAAACAAGTGGCCTTAGTCTCTGGCATTTAGTTGTGGTCATGCAACTAAGTCTGGCCAATGGCATGTGTGTGAAGGTTACCCCTTGTACCATTTGCCAGTCTGGCCCAAAAAACCTCATATGAACATCTCTCCATTCTTTTTCCTGGCCACCAGGTGATTGGAAAGATGACTTTGCAGATTGAAGAGGCACTATAAGCCTAGATCCCTGCATGACTGTGTGGAACAGAAATCTCTCCTCTCCCCTCCCCAAAGCACACTGAACACTTCTATGAGCAAAACTGCCAACTTTAATAGTGCTGAACCCTTCAATTTTGGGCTCATCTGCTATAGCATTTCGGCTATCTAATACAGAAGTAGGGATGCTACCATAGCAAAACTCTGAAATAAATGGCATTGGATTAGTGTTTACGTGTCAGGAGATGATTATTTGGTGAGTGTTGTCTACAGAAACTTAGAGGGAATGTGCCTTCTGCACCTGTAGTTTAGAAGGAGCCCAAGTTTTGATATTTGCCGTTTGTTACTGCTTGCATGGCTCTTAGCATAACTGATGCCATCTCAAGCCCTTACAGTTTCTCCTGTCCTTCTGCTGACCTCCCCCAGAGCTGTACTGTGTGGTAAATCAGTTCTCTGTCATCAAGTGCCTTGTGGTTAATGGATACTGGTCAGTAATCCTTAGGATCAAGTGGCCTCTGTACTCTGTTAGT